AACACAGGACAAACTTTCTTCTGCCTAAAGAACTTCAAAACTGCGCTCACACCGCCGCTTCCTCCGCCACCGCCTGTCGAGTCCCTCTTCAACTTCTCCAAACTGGGAGATTTCAGCACCGGCAATGGAGAAGATCTACCAGGAGATAATGCCCATGCAGAAGGAGAAGTAGAGGCTGATCGTGTTCTTCTTGGCACCTCCGTTTTGCTCTTACTGCGTGGCAAAAACCTCACAAAACCGGCTGCAGTGGAGTCTGTAATTTCTTTTGTTTTATTCTGTTGTTTTTTGCTTGTTAAAGGATTTTGATCTTTTTCTTCACGCTTTAAGCCACTTCTTGATTTTATACGAATTTCTTGGAGTGATGACAAAGCGGCGCTTCCAGTTTGGCACCGGAGCAGACGCTGCGGGCGGGGGATTATGGCTTGTTGGAGCCTGCGGGACTGTGGGGGCTCCATGTTTTCTTTGGCTAAAACAAGACATTAAGTGCGTGTATATATATTTTAGAACTGGTTGGTATACCACTTTACCTACTGTGGCCTTTGATGGCATATTAAGAAGTTGAGAGCACGTTAATGAATTCAAGGTGGTATCCACGACTGACTAATAACATAGCATTTGTTTTAAATGAAATATGTTTCTTAGTTAGGTATGATGGCAAAAAAAATATATTTGTGCTGTTCTATTTTTAATTTCCAATCTTTTTTAAGGTTAATTAGGTGTTATTAGATTGAGCAAAATCAAAGCACAATTGCATTCTTCTTGACAAATCATCCTAAATTACAACATAAACAAGAAGTTGCAACGAACTCTGCTATTGTTTGGTACCGATTAAAATCTAAATTTTAATTTAAGTCAAAATCAATAATTCATTTCAACCACGATTCTTAGTCTATGTATAGTGGGGACATTTTTCCACGTTGTCCAATAAATTTATAATGCACTTTTATCCATTGAATATTTACGGATTGGTAATGACACTACCAATATATAGACGGGTGCTAAATACCAATAGAATTATATATTATTATTCTGTAATTTTATTGTAAATGGACTTTTACTTCATCTAAGTTGCATCAGACGTTACATCTCCTTGTAACTTTTATGAAAGAAAGATGGCTTATTAGTGCAATACTACCAATGTATGGACATATTATCAAATACTCCCACCTTTTCAAATTGGTGAAAAATTCCCACGTATAAACTTTGAAGTGCAGAATACTCTATTTTCTTCTATTTTCTCAATAAATCCTTGCGAAGAGACAAATATACACTACTATTTAAATAAAACAAAAATTAAATAAGAAAAAAATTAAAAATTAATTTCAACCACAGTTCCAAATTTTTTTAAAAAGTGCACACGAGTCCCCAAATAAATAATAAAAAATTAAATTTAAAAATAAAAGAAATTACTCTCTTCCACCTACCCCTCTTCTCACCTCTCCTTTCCATCACCGCCACCGCCACCGCCACCGCCACCGCCATCTTCTTTTGGTATTCTTGTTTGTTACAAAGATTTGTTAAGGGCTTGTTTGAGTCTCATTTTTGTCAAAAAAAATACCTTTTTGAATAGTGTATTGATGGAAAATGTGTAGTTAAAAGTAAAAAAAAAAATTGGGGTTTGCTTGTAATATTATTTTATTAAAAAATATGTGATTGAATTAAGGTCAAAATATTATTTTTTCCAAAAAATGAGGCTCAAACAAGATTAAGGTTCAGAGTTTTTCAGAAAAATCTTCTACCCAGATTCTTGTAACTCACATTGGTACTAGAAATTTAATTTATTTTGGTTGGTTCTTGAGCTGGTGCCTGGGCTGGAGGAGTAGTTCTTTGGCTTAGCAGCTGAGTCAACATTGCAACTTGCTGACGGAGTTCTTCGAATGCTCCAGCAGTAACTACTGCTGGTTGAGGATCTGGTATTGTTGATGACTCTTCTTGATGGACTGGAGGCTTCGCCACAGGTGGTGGGTTTGGTACGGATGAACTTGCTAGAGGAGGACCTGAACGTGTGTTGACCATGGCTTTTGGTAGCGAGGTTCCCACAGACGGGGCCAATGATGCTACCAAAAANATCGGCGGCTGGCGTGGGGCGGGGGAAGTCGTTGGACGAAGACCTGAACGCGTGTTGACCATGGCTTTTGGTAGCGTTTCCCACAGACGACGCCAATGATGCTACCAAAAATCGCACATGGTGAATTCTGAGGTTGACGACTGAGAATGAACACGAACGTGATCTTCCTGTACCTGAAACAAAGGCGTCGAGGTATGTCCTTGTCGCCCCTCCGATACTTAAGTCAAAGAGAGAAATTATACGAAAACTTGAATGCTGAAATTATATGGAAAAACATACCTGAATAATGATTTGATGTTCTATATTTATAAAAGTATGTAGTGCATTCCTAGTAGGACTTGACATCACTTTTAGGAGTTCTAATTGTGATAAGTGTTGGACCATAATTATAAGTATAATCATGCATTAACTGTGGTACCTTCCAAGATAGACTCCTTCTAGACTAAGGATTCTTAAATTGAGGTATTTCAATAGACCTAGAACTCCTGGAACGACGAATTAGCCAAAACCTAAAGATTTTTCTTGAGTTTGGCCAAGGCAAATGCTCGAGGACACAATAATCATATCGTACCCGAGGACTTCGACGCCCCTTTATTGTAAGTTGTATTTTTGGTCCTCGATATACCCGATGACTACATCACACCCGAGGACTCTTGTCTCCGCTTAGTATTTTCCACTCCTCGAGGCATTAGAGCTCGAGATACCCAAGATGCCTATATCAGATGGTGTGGGAGTGATGGAAGAGGCTCTAATCTTCTGCTTCTTCTTCATCATTTGGGTTGAGCAATGTCCTCTGAGCTTCTCTCAGGAGGAGGAGAGGAGGGAGAGGGGGAAAGAAATAGATATTTTTCCTCTGTTTGATCTATTTTGTCCGATATATATTTTATTCTCACTTCATTTTAATCATACATTCTTTAATAAGATAATATTAGTAGATTCAAATTTTTTCCTTATTTTTTAAGTATACATTTTCTATCAATCTATTATTCCAAAATACATTCTACACAAAAAATTGGGTTCTAACGGACACTTTATATTTTTAATTTTAATTATTTATTTGACACTCGTTTACCCTTTTTTTTAAAAAAAAAAAAAAATTTTGAGGTTATGGTGGAAATTAGTTCTTTATTTATTTTATTTTTTTAAATATGAGGGTATATTCATCATTTAACAAGGATTTATTGAGAGAATATACAAATATTGGATCTTCCACACTTCAAAGTTAAGGGTTTTTCGTCAATTTGAAAAAGTGGGAGGTATTTGACAATAGATCCATATGTTGGAGGTATTAATCCAATACACCCAAAATGATGTTAAAGCATGGTCAATAGTGGCTCTGAAGCCGTGCAAGAAGTGTGACCACACGGTGCTCGGGCACCATTCGCATATAATATGTTACTAATGTCTTGTTAGTTTGAAAAAAAAAATTACTAATAATTCTCTTTTTATACCATTAGAGTTAAATATTAATTTTAACCAATATTTATAATAATCATGCTACATGTACATTCATTTTTACAATGCGTCATATGACAAAATGCCATTGGACGGTTTTAAAAAAAACAATTTTCCTGCCCGAACTTTTTTTGAAAACAAAAGCAATGTAAAGGAAAGATTGTACATTTAGCACTACTTTATTTATAATCATTATTCATTTTATTATCCATACATTTTATAGAATTCATTTTTATTAAGTTACTAATTATTTTAGAGGGACTTGGGCATTATAATTGTAAGTTTTCCATTACTATGAGCTACCTCACAGCTCCATCAATTCTCAAATAAAAAAAAATCACATTTACTCCATCATCTTGCTCTTGAGGGGATGGAATTCTGGAGCGAACTACTCATTGCCGTCTACCCTAATTCGAGGAAGGACATTTGGTGAGGAGCATTATTTTGACGGGGAGAAATCGTGGTTCGAGAAGGTGAGTGGACTAGAGTGCTTTCATCAAATGATGTAGAATTGAACGTAGAAGCATTATCAATATTCTTCTCAATCCTTCAACAATTATGTGATTATTCACAAATCAACCTCACAAAAAAATTTAGAGAAAGATCGGAGAATAACTCCACCATGAATGTTATAAAAAAAAAATCGTCATTCTAAGTTGTAAATTCTTCCAATGATTCATCTCAATTTCCAGTCAAAAATCGCCTACATTTTAGTTGGATTTTGACAAATAAAGTGATTTTTCAATCTTGATAACTTATTAGCTATTTGGGTGACTCCTACCGTCCTACGAAGTAAATAAGTAAAGAACTTTAAGAAGAATAAAGGATATTAGGCAATGATAAATTATTAAAAGATCATGAAAGAAAACATATATTTTGTATCTAGGGGATACGATGTAAAGTTTCTTAATGAAATGGAAGTAACAACATGAACGAGTTCATCTTAATGTGGATGTCGGCCTAGGTGTTCCCATCGAGGCTCTCGTAGCTTTCAGTGAGGATTTTGAAACTTCCGGCATCGGTGGTAAGAACCTTAGGTTTCTACCTACTGCATGGAAGTTTTTTTTAGATTATTCTCAAATAGTGGGGATATTCAAGCCTCACGTTGAACCATTGGAGCACCTATTCATAGTAATGACTGCAGTCTCTTCCTTGTCTTTCCTCCATGTAATGTTGAGTTTAAACACTCAAAATAGGATTTTATTAATGAAATAATTTTGGACACACACCAAAATCTCTAACCACTTATAATATTATGTAGCAATTGAACATTCAACTTTATTCTCTTTCTTTCCACTCACAACTCACAGCNCTGGAGCGAACTACTCATTGCTGTCTACCCTAATTCGAGGAAGGGCATTTGGTGAGGAGCATTATTTTGACAGAGGGAAAGTGTGGTTTGAAAAGGCGAGTGGACTAGAGTGCTTTCATCAAATGATGTAAAATCAAACGTAGAAGCATTATCAATATTCTTCTCAATCCTTCAACAATTATGTGACTATTCACAAATCAACCTCACAAAGACATCTAGAGAAAGATCGGAGAATAAGTCCACCATGAATGTTATAAAAAAAAAATCGCCATTCTAAGTTGTAAATTCTTCCAATGATTCATCTCAATTTCCAGTCAAAATGTGATAATAGCATAAAAAGTAGCTAAACGAGGTAACTTACTAATTTTATTAGATTGCGACTAGTGAATTAGTGTCGAATTTCAATTTTTTGTTACTATTTTCCATTTATGATTTATAGAATATTATGTTCGAATGGAGGGAATCATTGGTAAAAAATCGCCTACATTTTAGTTGGATTTTGACAAATAAAGTGATTTTTCAATCTTGATAACTTATTAGCTATTTGGGTGACTCCTACCGTCCTACGAAGTAAATAAGTAAAGAACTTTAAGAAGAATCGAGGATATTAGGCAATGATA